TATACAAGCGTGTGTACGCACACAGGCTGTGGTTGACACTAAATGCACTGTGAGTCATTATCGTGTGATTGTTCAGTAAAACAATGTTGACTTTATATTTCCTCCTCAGGTTGACACAGTGATAGCTTGCTCTTGTTGTATTGTTGTGTGTTGTATTTCTCTTTCTGCAGGTCTAGAAGCAGACTTGTTCATCATTGATTGTTTATTTTTGTGGAAATCCCCCCCCCCCCCCTCTTTTGTTTCTTCCTTTCTCTTTCACCTCTGTCTCCGTGTCTGGTCAGATTTAGAAAGCATCCAAAAAAACAATAACAATAAAGTTTTAAGTATCAGGCGTGACATTACAGCAGAAGCGTTGATGCTCCACCTAAGAGTAAATCTGTAAGGCTTGTCACCATCATTCAGACATTAATTCTGTTTGCTTCACAGCCAGACAGGACACGGGGGGGGGGGGGGGGGGGGGGGGGGGGGGAAGAAAGAAAAAAAAGAAAGTGGCTTCACTGTAACTTGTCATTTCTGTTCACCTAATAGTTTAATTTAGTGATAATTTCTATTCATATATTTTACTTTTTATCTACCTCACAGTCTTTTTCTGTTCAAGAGAGAAGAAAATAAAACCTGTATTCCAATTCATAGCATTGTTTAGTGTGGTAGAAGTATTGGTATCGGCGAGTACTCATATCCAAGTGTCAGTATCGTATTGGTTTGGAAAAAAGCGGTATCGTTGCATCCCTAAATTAAAGCTAACATAATACTGCCAGATTAGGACAATGACTGGGCTGTACGTATCTATCACTGGAAAATATGGCAACAGACTACATTTCACTTCGGGGTGGAATATCTCTTTAAGAGATCTTTAAAAAAAAGTCTGTATATTAAAAAATAAACATTTGAAGTTTTATTAGAATAAAAAAGTCCTCGTTGCTAAAATAGTGAAGTTCTGAATGGAGACCGAAGCGGTGGGCGACTCAGGAAACAGCTGCAGATATAAACTATTTATAAACTATTCTGGCTGGAGGATAATAAAGGATGCTTCCTCACAGTGGGAGTCTTTCTGTGAAGCTTGTTTACTTTTTGGAGGTAAACATGCATTCAGAGGATATTTACTGCAGCCCCCCCCCCCCCCCCCCCCCCCCCCCCCCCCCCCCCCCCCCCCCCCCCCGTTATATTTTGTTTGGGAACATGCTGTGCAGAGGAGGAGGGGCTTTGAGACAGCACAGGGGATGTGTGTGTGCGTGGGGGGGTCATGGCTGCAATGTCACAGAGTTGAGCTGAATGACATCCAGTCCTCCAGAGAGGAAACGCGGCGATCAGAATGATTTGTTGTTGTTGTTTTCATTAAGGATTATTTTAACCCCAAACACCAGTGAAAGACCTCTGGTTTTCATGCGTTGATTCTCTGTGTATATTTATCTTTTAGTAGAAGAACAATAACTTGTAAAAATGTAGTTTAATTTTAGCTTTACGGTTAAAACTTCTTACAATTGTCTTTGAAGTTTTTATATCAAAGAGTTTTTGGGTAGGGGGGCTCCTTGTAAACAAGCCTGAATATTTATCCTGCAGCCACAGGCATTTATTCGTCTAGCACCACTGACCACCAAAAAAGAAGCAAAGAACAAATTCAAGAAGTGGAAGCAAAAAAAGAAAAAGAAAAAACTTGATTAAGACTGGAAAACGTTGCTTTACTTGACAGATCTGTGTTGTTTTCCCTCTCAGGTTTTATTCTCCAACATTGAGGAGGTTCTGGGCGTCCACAGGGACTTCCTGTCCATGGTGGAGGAGCTGCTGCAGCCCGAGCCTCACGCTCACCATGAAATCGGGAGCTGTTTCTTGCACTTTGTGAGTAGATTTGTCACCGTCTCCCACCGTAGCTTTAAATGCGATCTGTTGTCCGAGCTCTTAAAGCTCAGTCATGCAGATGCAATCTCCTCTCCTAATGCGGCCTGAAATCCGAAAACTTGAGAGAAAACTCCACATGTTGTCAATCAATCTCACGACGAGTTGGATCACATGTGCGATATGCTTGATGTGGCTGGGATGGATTGATCTCAGCCTCCATATATCACATTTCTTTGATGCAGATCCCTGAGGCGCACTGGCATGTAATAGGTTTTAAAGTGCTGTAAATCTAACCATCCTTCTGTCGGACTCTCTGAAACCTCGGTGCCCGTTGTGGCTCTGTTGCAGGTGAGACAGGGAGACGCTCTTGCAGAGCAGATGGCACAGCTGCAGTGGGTTTATGATGAGACGATTTGATTTAGAGAACAGGCTGCACTTCTAAGCTGAGAAATGAAAGCTCGTGACCATAATTCAGTCAGAGGCATTTGCGTGAGCGTGCACTTCCCTCGCTCTAGTTTTTTGTTGCAGCGCTAATGTTCCACAGAAGGAAAACACAGTAACTTTACAACAATAACATTAGAAATGAAACTATCTGGACAGCTGATTGCTCCAAATTACAGTTCCTCTGTGATTCAGATTTTTGGATTGGGGTGAAATCATTTCCAAGGCCAGCGAATAGTCAGTTTAGGAGTTCATACGCTTCCTTCTTGGAAAACATGACTCAGTATGGATAGCATAGCTAATCACGATGTTGTGTTTTTGTGAGAACTCTAGATTGTTGTTGTGACAGTTCTGTCTGTTAAAATAAACCAGCGTTTTGTTCTGTGCAGAGGCGCAACAGCTCGCCTGAAGACTTCAAACTATTTCTGTCGGTCGGCAGCGACTTTGTAGTGAGTGATTTAGAGGCTGTGTGGTGGGCTCTCAAGCACAATGGGGCATGGAGGCCATATGAATAGCTTTGGTGGAAAGTTGCTGGTCATATGGCTGCAAGACAGATGACGGGGTGAGATGGAAGGGGTAGTCTCACACACACACACACACACACACACACACACACACACACACACACACACACACACACACACACACACACCACAGAATACATGGTGTTTTTTCCATGATGAATGAAGACATGAATCTCTTAATGTGTACGTCTGCTTTGTGGTCTGCCGTGATTTTAAGCAAAATCCTTGTATGTTTATTATAAAGTAATCTTTTACAAACCTAAAGTGACAAATGACAACATGTATTTTTACCATTAATCTCTGGAAATAACTTTGTTTAAACGTTTAAAATGAATAAAATGATGTCTAGTTGTTGAAAAAGATTGGTGGCTTTGTAACATACAATCATAAAAATCGGGTCTAAAGTACATAGGGCGCGGGTCTAACATCTATGAGGGACGTCATATTAAACGCCATGTTTCCTTCTGGCTGGCTCGGGGTCCTGCACCTGTTGATGACGTCACAATAGATGATTG